ACCTCTGGTGATGCTGAGAAAACAATCGATGCCTGTGGAGTGATTTAGCAACCCTTGACAAAGGAACTCAGGTTTTTACCCTGGCAGTGGTTTTTCCAGCCGTACCTGGAGAACAAATACATTATGCAATTTGAGGATTGAATAGGTCATAAAAACAGACTTGGTTAGTCTTTGAGAGTCTTGGGCGAAGAAAGGTGGGCATGAAAGAATCTAAGGGAGCTGGGGGAAGAGAACAAAAAGGGAGATCTCTGGGAGAGGAGGGAAATTTAGGGAGCTAGAGCAGGTGCTGAAAGTGAGGACTCCTCACTACTTTCGGCTCTAGGAGAAGGACTGTGCTAACCTTTACCAAATACAGCTTCTCACCCATTGCTCCCTCTCCCCCCCCGCCCCCCAGTTAGTAGCAGGATTTTTTTTATCTCCTTTGCCCACTCTTCCCCAGTGTCCACTGCAAATATCCTTACCAGGGAGTGAGGCCACGAGCCTCTTGAGCAATCTTCTTGGCACACCGAATATCATCCTCAATATTGTCGTCTTGCAATTCTGTAGAGAAAGGAGAAAAAGTCAGTGTGGAGGAAAGAGGGCCAGAGGAAGAGCAGGGACAGATTGGCAGAAGGAAAGGTGTTCATCAGGAAGGGAAGGTGGGACACTGAGAAGATGGATGAATAGAAGGACACATGGATAGAAATGCCCGGAGCAGCTGCTGGGCAGGAATCATGGACAGAGCAGGTGCTTTCAAGGAGTGGACAAAGAAAAGCTCTTTGTTCTGTCCCACCACTTACTTGAGCAGCTGATATGGCAGGCATTCTTGGCTCCAGCTGTCCTGCCATCGTTACACCAGTACTTGCTGTTGATCTGGAAGATGCCATAGTCCCTGCTCGGCCCGTTGTTGTTGTAGGCTTTGGTGTTGTAGCTGCTCTCGTATTTTATCAGGCACATCCCTGCAGGAGGAGGAGACATCCCACAGGAGAACATCAAACTATGCCCAGGGTAAATAAAAGGAAAGAAGGATTAAGGGCGACTGAAGTTCTGAAGAAGTAATTAAACTGGTGATATTGTAAGCTTGAGAATTGGATGGGTAAATGCTTGGAAGGATGAAGCTCTGGCTGGGAATTTGTTGTGTAAACTAAACAAGGGAGCACAGAAGGGGATGAGGAAGAGAGATGATGAAGTCAAAGGAATGGAGGGACAGAGTAGTGCTGCTGGAACATCACAAAGAAGTTGAGAGGGAGAAGGGTGGTACAGGCAGAGAGGTCCAATGGCAGCTCATCATACTCACAATCAGCAACAGTTTTGCCCACAAAGCCCTCAAATCCATTCCTACGTAGGATCTTCACCATCTCACATCGGGAGATGGTTTTTCCCTGGGTGCCTGGCAGAGCCAGAGCAAGGAAGGCAAGAAGGAAGCCGAGGAACAGCATTGACTTTCTCATCATGCAGTCCACAGCAAGATGTGCCAAAGCAACTTGAGCTGTCTGTCTGCCAAGGACTGCCTTTTATTCCTTCCTCCAGGAGGAGGATCAGTTGGCTAAGCAAGCATGACTGGGAAGTCTGGGCGGTCTTTACAGTAAAAAACCAATAAGGAAGTGGGCCAAACTCCAAAAAAATTCCTGGAAGGTGCCAGTAACTCTTTCACTGGTTCTGCAAGGCTGAGGAATTCCACAGACAATCCAGCAGTCCTCAGTTTGATATTATTCCAAGTATCATGGATCAGAGGTTGTGGTTGCCTTGTGTGGGTGTCATGGCTTAACCCCAGTACTCTGCTGAGTTATTCAATCTCTCCCACTTGGAAGGATGGGGGAGAGAATCGGAAGTTTAAAAGTGAGAAAACTGGTGGGTTGAGACACAGACAGATTAATGGGGAAAACAAAAGCCATGCACGCAAGCAAAGCAAAATAAATATTTAACACACTTCTTCCCATCAGCAGGAAGATGTTCAGCCACCTCCAGGAAAGCAGGGCTCCACCAAATATTAACAGTGGCTTGGGAAGACAAACACCACCTCTCCACATGTCCCACTCCTTCCTCCTTCTTCCCTCAGCTTTATACACTGAGCATGATGCCATATGGGGTGGGCCAGTGTGGGTCAGCTGTCCTGGCTGTGTCCCCCCTTGTCCTGGTTTAGGAATGGTATTCCCCAGTGTAGTACTCCCACTAAAAAGACCATGAGCTGCTCCCCTCTCTGCCTCCATGGGAGGCACAAAAGGCAAAGATCACGGGTTGAGATAAGAACAATTTATTGGAAACAGCAATGAGATGAGAAGATGAACAGTAACAGCAACAGTATTAATAACAAAAGTGTGCAAAAGAGAGAGCAATTCACATGCAGAAATGCCCAGTGTGAACCATGAACAATGAACAAAGGTGGACAAACTGCAACACTTTTCTGATGAATATGTATATCCTGCCTAATAAATACATTTATGTGTTGAGCCAGGGGTGCTCATTAGGCAGGAGCTCTCTCTCCTGCATCAGGCACCATAATAAAGTAATGCCTGCCTAAGGCTACATTGATCTTAAGGAGTTTCATTCCCTAATTTCGGTGACACAGGGAGCTTTAGGAAACCAGCAAAAGGGTGAAGCAAGTGCAGATGCAGGTGGGTGGGGGGAGGCTGTGGGCAGTGATGAAGCACCAACAACCAGAAATCTGAGGGCAACCAAGAGAGACATCAGAGCCTTGGAGCAACTGATTGAGGGAGTTTCTTATCCAAGATATTGTGTTGGAATTGCTACTTTCCCTCCAGCCACAGAACCAGACGTGTCATCTTAGTGGACAATCAGGTTGCTCAGCCACAATCTGGCCTTGGTCAATCCATGGTGACTGTTTCAGTCCCCTTCTTGCCCTTCATGTACTTCTGGGAGGATGGAACCCATGATCCTCCCATGGCTTGAGGAGAAGGGAAACTACCCAGGCAGATGAGGTTAAACACTGGCAGCACAGTGAGCAACAGAAAGAAAAGATTCAGTGGGAGTACAGGAAAAAGTAGCCTAAGAAAAATAACCATACAGGCCACCACATTGCCTGTGGAAAATTGGGAATTGAGACCATATCCTTCCAGACACTTCCAACTGCTGGGTTTCAGCCATCCCACTCATTGTAGGAATTATACAGCCCCCACCAAGATTTTGGTAGGAGTTACACAGAGGCCACTGCAACAGGGCTTGTCCCTAAATTGTGCTTCATAAAAAGAATCAGAGAGGGTTCCTTCTTCTACTGTGTTTATTATGCAATGGTAGTTACAACTTGAGCTTGGTGCCTCCAAAGAGAGGCCCTGCTTGTCGACTGCTAAAGGATTTTATAGTCTCTATAGGTCACTTGATTTCCTGATGGTACTTCTGCTCATCCAACCCCGTTTGCCATGCCAGGGCTTTTCTCCTCTGATTCCTTCTAGCAGCCTCAGGGCCCCCTTTTTGTCTGTTTCTGAAGACATTTTGTTGCCTTTAGTTACATGACATCCCATAGTTAAAGTTTTACTTGTACTTTCTTATCTACTGCTTACAGTTCTAGATCAAATAAAGGCTAAAATACAATTCCTGGGGCCTAAGGCTTTATTTATTTTAGTCAATAGTGCTAAGCTATGGCACAAATTAGTCTCTCCCTACACATTTGTGACGAAGGAGTAGAGGTTTCCATGCATTGTGCCGTCATCTTAAACCCTGGACTTGTGGCTTCCACTCTCCCTTTTCTGGGACAGGACACATATATCACTGTTTCAGGTGTTTAGAAAAGATGGGTTGGAAACAACCAGTCATCAACTCATAGAATCATGGAATCTCCTGCCTTGGAAGGGACCCACGAGGATCATCGAGTCCAACTCCTGCAACTCCTGTCCCTGCACGGGACCACCACAACGAGCACACCGTGCGTCTCACAGCTGGCTTGGTGCTGTGAGCCTGTTTCAGTGCCTGACCACCTTCTGGGCTCTGGTTCTTCACCCAGAAGGTTCTTCACCCAGAAAATTCTTCACCTGGTTCTTCTGGACAGTTACAGGCTCTTCAGGAGGGGTAGGCAGGGCAGTGGGTGTGGCACTTGGCATTGTATGTGATAGAAGGGTTAGAACGTCTGGAGCTCCCAGTTGGCACAGTTGGGAACCTCTGGGTAAGAATCAAGGGGCAAACAAATAATGCAGATGTCATCATGGGAGCCTGCTACAGACCTTCCAGCCAGGATAGTGACGCCAAGGTCACTTCCAAGTCAACTGCACTGGCTTCCAAATCAACATCCCAGGCTCTATCTTAGGCCTTGTGCTCTTCAACATCTTCATTAATGACTTGGATGCAGGACCTGAAGGGATGATCCTCATGGGTCCCTTTCAACAGAGGAGATTCAATGTTTCTGTGATTCCTAATATATTACCTAAAACTCCCCTGACACAGTCCCACATGCATCCCCTAAAATCAGCATTGGGCTGCCACACCATTTCCCCCCATTTCCCTTCTTGCCCCTTGTAAAGCTTCAGGCTCTTCACACGAGCTCATCGAAGGGTTTTTACATCAAAAAGACAAAAAGCTTCCAAATCCAATGGATTCATTAAAAGGGGCCTTCAATTCTTTTATGCTTCGAGGCCACACACGGGACAAACACTACGATGCTTCTCAGAGGGCCAAAATAGCATACTGGCAAACTTTGGAAAATAAGGGAGCTTGGTAAAAGCTTAAAACAATCATTCAGTCAACATAAGGCATTTCACAAAGCATTGAATTAGCAAATTCCAACCCACTTCAGCTTTAACTTACCCAAATATTCAAGAAAAGGAAATTAGGAGAAGAGGAAGAAGTAAAGAAAGAGAGAGAGAGAAAGAGAGAATTATTGCTACCACCTTAGATCCAGTGTAGATCCAGCTACCAGAGATCCAGGAAGGGCCATGAACCATGCAGTGGCCACACGGTGTTGGTTTAATTTGCTCTGGACTCCTGTGGAATGGGGCAGTGCACTGTCTCCCCTTGGCAGAATTTGCCCTTTCCCCCCCTGACCCCACCCAGGATAATTCCAAGCTATTGATAACTTTTTAATAACTTTTTTTTCAGTCCCTCACACCCCCTGCCCTTTCTTCTTTTGCATTTTCTTCCTCATTCATCTTGGATCTTGGTTGAGGCTTTCTGGGTTTCCATCCTTCCATGAACCTGCACTCGGTAAATGCAGGTGTACCACGGGTTTCCCCAGTTGCTCTTCACGAGAAGTTTGACATATGAAAAGGCTCTGGGAGGCAGCACATCCTGTGAAGAGCAAAAACGGGAGCATTAAAAGCCACGGTGAAATCACCATGGAATCAGCAGCCTGGCAGCCCTCTTCCTGCTCAGGAACAAGCTCCCAAAAGCAGGTGGGAGCAGCAGGGGACATCTGAGGCTTGCTGCTGGTGCCAGGGCTCCTGGGGAGGCTGGGGACAAGGGAAGGCATTTGGCATCATCCTCTGCATGCCAGCCTGGCTGGGGCTGCATCTTCCTTCCCTCTGCCCCTTGCTCTGTGCTGTCAGAGGGCCTGGGGAGGTGCTCCAGTGCAGCTGGTGTGTGACCCCACTGAGCTCCTGCAGTTCCTCCTGGCAGGCTGAGAGCAGTGGCAGAGAAGGGGCATGCTGTGCTGGGAGGACACTGCCCAGCTTGTCAGCAGGTCACAGGGTGGAAGCAACAGTGATGCCTGACAGCTTGTGCCACCACTCATCCCCCTTTCTCCATGGCACGAGGTCGTTGCTTGGGTGGACTGGCTGCATGTGCATCTGGCAACTCAGCCCTCCAAGCCCCTCCAGGTCTCTGTCAGGTGGTCCATGACCCTCTGCCCAGAGAGGAAACCTTCCCACCCTTCCTCCCATGTACTTGCAGGCAAACCCATTTTGCTCCCTGGCATCTGTCCCCCGTGCACGGAGTGTACCTTCAGAGGGAAAGTCTGCATGGGCTCTTTTTCCACGCTGTAGGTGAATGTCCCCAGGAGAGATTCTTCTTCTCCGTCTGCATCCACTCCCTCGGGGGCAAAGCACGAGGAGAGCAGCTCAGACTCATCCCAACAAAGAGGAAACCTGCCTACCCAGCCTTTCCTGGGGCTCTACAGTAGTCTGGAACTGGTTAGGGTAGAGCTCAGGCTCGGTCAAGAACTCTTAGGTGCTTAGCCAGAACAAGTCTTAAGAAGGATGAACCTCTCAAGCCCTTGAAGTGTTGCACTTGGGCACTGCAATGCTCAGGAGAGAGCTGGACACAAAGCTCAGAGGATACACAAAAGCAAACAAGACCCTGTCCTGGCTTCCCTCCAGGCCCAGAACCCCCCCAGGAGTGCCCAGCAGACTTACAAAGACAGCGATGTCTTTGGGGGCACTGATGACGGTCCCACTTGGAGAGACGTCTTTGGTGATGTGCTGCACTGTGATGGCAGTAGGGTGGACTCGTGCTGGCAACTTGATGACCACCTGGCCCTGATGCCCACTGAAAGCCCAGCAGCTTCCTGGGGAAACATTTGGCTGCAACCAGAATGCAAGAGCAGTGAAGTGTGAGGGGTTGGGACCAACACAACTGCCCATGTGGTTTGAAGTGTTGGGGCTGGAGTGTCTGTGGGCTTTATTTCAGCCTCAAAATAAGGAAATGGACAGAAGTAGAAGGCCTTCCCTGCCAGCCAAAGGGGGAATCAGCATGACAGGACAGAGAATACTGATTATGAAACCAGCCTAATCGGGGCCAAGCAGAAACACCTCTGCCCAGGGTCTCTGTGGGGCATCCCCCCTGCTCCCACCACCCACCCGTGAAAAGTGGCTCTTAGGGATGAGTGTGGAAACAGGGTGTCTTGATTTGTTGACAATGTGTCCCTGGAGGCAGGACCTCTGATGGAATGAAAACCCCTCCCCACAAATTATGAATTTTTTTTTAATTATGAGGCGTTCGAGTGGAGTATGAAAATGAATAAGAATTTTACTAAAGACAGAGAACAAAACAACAACCAAACAATAACAGAAAAGCTGGGGGTGCAGTCCCAGGAAACAAAGAGAGCAAGTTCCCATCCTGCCAGCAGCTTTATTCTCCTAAGTTCTCGCAGTATTTTTCCTGGTGGGACCCCTCCTCCCTCCCTGCTCCCCACCTTGGGGTGGGGGAAGGTGGTGGTCCCCTGCACTTCTCCAAAACCACACGATGGTGTGAAGAAATTTAGCTAAACCATAACACAGGGTCACCAGGAAGAAAGAAAGCCTTTCACCCAGCTGTGGCTGAGGACTGTGGGCAGCAGGTACAGCTCAGTTCAGCTCCACTCCCCTCCAAAGGGGAACCACTGCTTCCCAGCCCTGCCTTCCAGCTTTGCTTTGAGGAACCTGATCTACACTGTGGCTTGAGCAGCCCCTGAGAACAGCCCCCAACTTCATAGGAAGGAAGGAAACTGGCACTGATGATTTCTGCTGAGATACCTGCAGAATAGTATCAGGAGGGTTGGCAGTCCAGAAGAAGTATAAAATCCTGCAGACCCAACTCTCTCTGCAGTCGTAGGTCTGGGAAGTTCTCTGAGTGTCAATGGTGGCTCCTGTAAGGAAGGAAGAGCAGATGGCTGCAAGAGGCTGCAGACTGAGAGGGCCTGGTGCTCAGACACCTTTTCTGATGCCACTGCCCAGCTCCATGTCCTCATCTCCCCATCAGTGGGGGTGCCTGGCTGCACAGGGCAATGACAGCCATGTCACCACATGCCTGGTGACTGCTTCTCCCACGGGCCTTAGAGTGCTGGGAGGCAGCAAAGAACAACCCAGTCATTCCCTTTCCAAGTGCAGCAGAGAGGAGGAGAGCCCCTCCCCAGCACAGGAATGTGGGGGGGCAACCCCAGAGTCATCCTTATGGAGGACAAGGACAGGACACAGACAAGCACAGGGCAAGGAGACCAGAGCTTGTGTCCCTACCAGAGCTCTTCAGGGCCCAGTCAGTCTTGACATAGGATTCCAAAGTCATCTTGGTCAATTCTTGGGAAAGCTGTGAGCAAACACAGGAAAGGACCACATCAGTGGACAGTTCAGCACGGCCAGCAGTGCCCACGGAGGCAGAGCTGGGTGTCAGACATGCAGGGCAAGCTGTGCCCCAGAGCTGTGAGACTGTGCTGACGTGAGCCACGAGGACTGAGCAACAGCACCCGTGGCCACAACAGCCTGACCCCACCAACAACCCCAAGGAGTGCTGCCGTGGGAGTTCTGCCCAGCAAAGCCTCTTTCCCTAAAATGCAGGGTCACTTTCTTCCCACTACTGATCTCCACCCTCAGCTGACCAACCTCCTCCAGTAGAAGCTGCAGCTTTTGGGTTTCAGTCAACGTGTCTGAATTCCTGCAGGAACAGAAAAGCAGATCTTGTCAGAGCAGCCCATCCGCTTGGTGAAGCACCTGAGGTCAGTGAGGAGACACTCGTGTGCTTTCCCTGCTGCTCCAGTGCTTCTCTCCATCCCACAGTTGAGCAAAAGGCAAAGGAGGGAAGTACAGGAGCCTTTGTTGTTTGGAAAATGGGCAAAGTCAGCTAACACATCTACACAGACCCAGTTCCAGTTCAGGAAACATCTCTTACCAGAAGGTCTTCAAGCCCACTGGAAATACACTTGTCAGCTCCTGCAAGGGAAAACTGTCCATTAGAACATCCACTGCCAGAGCCACCAGGCTTCCCAGGAAGACTTCCCTAGGAAGACACAGCACAATCTGCTGCTTCTTTGGGTCACACTGCGTGGAAGCAGAAGAGCCCGGGGTTTATCCAGCCACCATCAGCAACACTCTCTTGCAGGAGGTGCCCATTCCACAAGAGTCACCAACCTGCATCAGTCCCTTTGTCAGTAGTGTCCACGCTGGCAGGGAAGTCCCACAGAAAACTCCAGCTGCAATTCACACCACAAAGGAACTGTTACTGGACAGGGTTGGCAGCGAACCCTGAGGGCCCATTGTCTCCTCCCTGCTGCCCTGGCAGTCAGGCAGCAGGTTAGCTGAAGGGTGTGGAAGGGAGGGGTGCAGAGAGAGGCCGTGCCTGTGACTGGGGCTATCAGCCCAGGCTTCATCAGACATCACAGCTCGGTCTTCAGGTGTGCTCAGTGCCCCAGAGCTGCTCCCTGTTTCCCCTCACTGCAGTGAGCACCAGGCTGCACGGGCTAGGAGAGGTGCCCCCTCATCCATCCCCCTGCACAGCCCCTTCCCTCTGGGCACCCCCAATTCAGCCTTGGAAATACCTCCACCCTTCTCTTGCAGCCTTGCACACCATTCAGTCCAGTGGCCAGAGCAGAAGCGTGGCCATGAGACTACCTGGGAAGTCTTACTGGTGATCCAAATGTCAGTCCCAGTCAAGGACACACTCAGGAAGCACTTGGGCCACAGGAGTTTCCACCCATAATGGCCCCAAAGGAAAGCTGGCATCCAGCACAGCCAGACCTTTGCTCTCAGCTGTTTGCTCATGAAAACTCACCAAGATACACTGAGAGCAACAAGGCATAGACTTTAAAGCTCTTCTTCTGCTGGACTATCTTTCGCCTGAAAGAGAGGGAGTCCTGGGGCTGTCAATGAGCCAAGTCTTGGGCAACCTCCTTCACAGCAGGGAAGCATAGGAGTGTTGCCTGGCTTTGCTCCCAGAGCTTTCCCAGACCTGCACAATGTCTTGCCAGAGCTGGGGAAAGTCCCCTGCAGACACCTGGCTCTGCCCCAAATGCCTGGCTATGTGGTAGTTTGTCCTATCCCAGCCAAGGCTGGGGGCTCTGGCTCTGGTGTGCCAGTGACACTGCCAAGGGGCTTTGCTCTTGGTGCTTCCCGAGAGTGGCTGCAGCACAACAGCACCCAAGATTCAGTGCCCAGGTGAGAGCCCCGGGCTGCTGGCTGAGGAACACCATCGGTTCTCCCCTCTGCTTGCACTGGCCCTCAGACATCCCCATCCTGCCCCCTGGCCACAGCAGAAACATGCAGTACTTACGCCTTGAGGATGTATGGGCTCAGATGATTTCTCCCCAGGAAGACAAGGTCATCTGCCAGTTGACAAATCTGCCTCAAGAACATCCCTGGGCAAAGAAACCGTAGAAAAGTTGTGCTTGTCTCTTGAGGTCTTGTCTGTAGGATGCTGAGCCAGCCATGGGCACTGGGCCCTACAAATCCCTCCATGGGGTGAAAAGTGCAGCACCCTGCACCTCTCCTGCCCTTAGTGAAACTGGGCTGGAGCTCTGGCACAGCACAGCTCTCCCAGTTCACCCCAGAGGATGTCACAGCAAGTGTCAGTGAGGAGCTTACTTGCAATTTCTTTGACCTTTTCCAGATGAAGGTTCACCAGAGCTGCAGTGAGTGGAGCATCTGCACAGCTTCCAGGAGAAGAGAAGCAAGCTGGTATCAGCAGTCCCCTCCAGCAGCACAGCCCAGTTCTCACCCTGTGTCTTCCTTCTCACTGGCCCCCGACCCAAACCTTCCCCTTGGCAGGCATCTCTCAGTGGCTGTTTGGAGAGGGAGCACGGGGTGCTCTCCCCACCATGGCAGCTCCACCTCTTCCCTGGGTGCTGGTGGTCTCCAAAACCCTCCCTTCCCCATACAGAGTGAGCCAGGCTTTTGGCCTAGACCTATCCCCACAGAAGGAAGACTTTGCATGCCACAGGGCTGATCTGTCAGCTTCCCCGTGCTGCTCCAACCCCACTGACCTCGTTGTGCCACGTCCATCCTACCGCCCCAACCCGCCACCCCAGGCAGGAGCAGCCGACCTCATACCTGCTTCTCAACTCCACTGTCACCTCTGCCACCTCATCCTCACAGCCCAAGCAGCGTCTGGCAGACCCACGACGTCTTCTGGGGGGAGCCTTTCTCACCATCTCCGGGCTCTGGGCTCAGCTCTGCACCCTCAGCCCCTTCAGTGGGGTCTGCCCAGTGCAGCAGCCACAGGGCAGCCGTGGGTTCTGTCCCTGTGCCACAGGGCTGTGCAGGCACACAGCTCTGACCTCACAGCAGTGGTGGCTCTGCTGCCACCACAGGGGTGCCCAGGGCGACAGCCACAGGGGGACTGTGGGTTCTGCCCCCAAATGCAGTGCTGGTGGGACTGCCTTAGTGTTGGATGGCTGAGCCCACCAGCTAACAAGCAAGTTCATAGAATCATAGAATCAGCTGGGTTGGAAGGGACCTTTGAGATCATCAATTCCAACCCTTGATCCAACCCCGCTGTGGTTCCCAGCCCATGGCACTGATGCCATGGTCTCTTTTTAAAAATCTCCAGGGACAGAGGATCCACCACTTCCCTGGGCAGCCCATTCCAATGTCTGACCACCCTCTCTGGAAAGAAATTCTTTCTAATCTCCAACCTAAACCTCCCCTGGCACAGCTGAAGACCGAGCCCTCTTGTCTTGCTGATGGTTGCCTGGGAAAAGAGACCAACCCCCAGCTGGCTCCCCCCTCCTGTCAGGGAGTTGCAGAGAGTGAGGAGGTCTCCCCTGAGCCTCCTCTTCTCCAGGCTGAACAGCCCCAGCTCCCTCAGCCTCTCCTCAGAGGACTTGTGCTCCAGTCCCTTCCCCAGCCTCGTTGCTCTCCTCTGGACCTGCTCCAGCCCCTCAATGTCCTTCCTGAGCTGAGGGGCCCAGAGCTGGACACAGCACTCGAGGTGTGGCCTCACCAGCGCTGAGTAAAGTTATATACAAAAAAGCAAATGATGCTCGCAGAGGGCCAGGAATCATAGAATGATAATGGAATCATGGAATGGTTTGGATTGGAAGGGCCACACGTGTCAGAACTCTGGGAATTATTACGTCTCAGCCTCAGCACCACCTGCACTGCCAGGCCCACAGGTGGGCATGGGGAGGGAGGATGAGCCTTCCTGCTGCTCCTGAGGCCCTGTGCTGGGGCCTGGTCACCTTATGGTAAAGGAACCACAAGCCCTGGAAGGTGTGAAGCCCAGTTTCTTACAGCTTTGTGGGTAAAAGACAGATTTTTGGTGCCCAGTGAGTTAACTCAGAGGTGATTCTGTGTTTGGAACAACCATTTCTTTTCTATCAATTTCTGTTACCTATAAAAGGTTAATACAGTTGCCTTTGCTGGACAGAAGTATTAATTTGAGCTTGTTTCCTCTACCCAGTTGGTCCCATTGCACTCCCAAGTTTTGGGAAATTTATTATCTTCAGGACTTGCAACTCCTGCCAGACTGGGTGTGATCATGGCCTCAAAATAATTACCAGATAGTACCATTACACGTGTCTCATTGTCCCATTTCCTGCCCTAATAAAACATCTTCAACATCTCATTTCTTCTCTTTTTCCTCATCCTGGCTTACCCTCAGCTGCATTGAGAGGCTTTTCACTTCTGATTTACAGCCTGGGCAATATCACCCCACGCAGACCTGGCATCACATGCAAGATCCTGTTTGTTCTCCAAGAGAAGGAAACCACAAGGACACGGCCTCTGTTGCATCCCTTTCCCTTGCAGGTCACCACAACCTGCTCTAAAAGGGACTGTGCTGACAGAGGGTGAAGGACAGCCCCTGGTACCCTCCACACTGACTCACACTGGCTCTGGTCCCACACTGATGTGCAGCAAGAGGAAAACTGGCAGAGAAGCCAGGTTTTGGACAAGGCAACAAATCCTGGGATTTCTGATCAGAAAGACCACATAGTCCTGCTGTAAGGGAAGCAAAAGGCCTGACTGGCAAGCAAGGGAGATGTGCAGGAAGGTGAGGTGGCAAGCAAGGAGTGCTCCTCACCCAGCTTAGGGCCTTCTAATAAAACCCATGGTGAGAAAGTGAGAGGACCAGGCTTTGCCAAGTGCAAGCACAAGAGCTGGAAGAGACCCACCTGGCATTTCTGCCTGCATATCCAACAAAATATGCTCATATATGCACCAGAGTCTTGCATAACTGAAGAAAGGATGCCAAAACTTGGGTGGAAACCCAAATCCTTTGCCTAGTGCTGATAAGGGCTGTCACTTCTCCTCCCACCTGTCTGCTTAGTAAATACGGCCACTGCTTGGAAACCAGTCATGTGCCAATGCTGAATTTTGTTATCAGAAGAAAACTCTCTTGCTTATTAAAAAAAAAATTTGCAAAGATGGGAACACAACCAGGGACATACAGAGATGGCAACTGGGGCCCCAAGGCAGTTCTGCAAATATCACTGTTGTGCCTCTTATGGATACACTTGATCCTCAGCCCCACTTTGGATCAGACTGACTGAGGAGCAGCAGCCCCGTGCCCTGGGGTGGACTTGCAAGCTGGAAAGCTCCTGGCTCAGGCACAAGGAAATGAAGGTGCCTCGGAAAATATTTTGAAAGGTGGTTTCAAAGCCCCAAATTATGCAAGATAACCAAACTACAGAACAAAATGAAGCTAAAACAAAGACATTTATCTTCTCTACCCTACTGACTAGCAGCCAACTCTGTAAATATTACCATCAGGATAAGCCCAGTTTGGGCTGTCCCTGAAGTGCAGCTGGACTGCACAGCAGTGACTCTCCCCTTGAAATGGGGCACCACCACTGTCAAAGTCTGAGGCTAAGGTTAGACCTAGCTGAACCTAGGCTTTGTAAGGGGTTTAGAAATCCTCATTGCAAGGATCTTTCTTACCCTCTCTTATCCTGCTTATGCAGCAGCTCTTTTGTGCTTCCCTTTCCTCTTCCCCTTCCTCAGCTTTGGGCAGCTGAAGAACATAGACTAAAATCCCAGAATGGTTTGGGTTGGAAGGGACCTTAAAGCTCATTTCATTTCATGGCAGGGACACCTTCCACTAGCCCAGGTTGCTCCAAGCCCTGTCCAACCTGGCCCTGGACACTTCCAGGGATGGGGCAGCCACAGCTTCTCTGGGCAACCTGTGCCAGGGCCTCACCACCCTCACAGGGAAGAATATCTTCCTGATATCCAATCTAAATCTACCCTGTTTCAGCTAAAATCTATTCCCTCTCGTCCAGTCACTCCAGGCCCTTGTCCAAAGTCCCTCTCCAGCTCCCTTATAGGCCTCCTTCTCCTAAATATTTTCTTGGTCATCTCAACTTTCTACCTTTCAAACAAGTAGCTTATCTCAACAGGACAAGGACAGATAGCACTGTTTTAACCTCAAGTAAGCAAATATTTAAACTGTTTATTTAAAGATAAGAATTAAGAGGACTGGAAAAAATGACAGCTACATGGAAAGTGAAAATTCAATTTAGTGCTTAAGCAACTTGAATCCTGATGCTGCAGCTGTAGCAGAGGGCTGACACAGATCATGATAAAACCAAAAATCCTTCCACTAAGCTTTCAAATGACAACATAACTCCATCTGAGGGAAGACAACATCTGTATAGGGAAACATAGCCATATGTCTATAGTGCACAATGTTTCTCTTAACAGCACCAAGAACTTGCTGGTATAAAAAATTACAAATTTTAAGTGCTATTTTAAAGTAATTTACAGTTCTATCAACAGGAGTGAGAAAATAGTCAAGAATTTGACTTTCAGAATGGGAGATGATTCATGACTTTCTCAACAGCTTTTACTATGGATGAAGCTTACACCTCTCCATTTGGGAATGGCACACCCTGTTAGGATTGGGCTGGCTGGCTTGGTCAGCCTTGCAGTTTTTCAGTCAGAGAAGAGAAAAAAAACTGATGAAGAACTAAGCAGACAAAGGCCAGCAGGTATCAGCTCCAGCTAACTTTCACCTGGGTGCAGAATGAAGCTTCTTTCTAAAAAAAAGAAACAAACAAAAATAAATTGCATCTCTATCAGATATTGGCTTTTCTAGCAAATGCCTTTTTTTTCCACCCTTTGCTTCACTAAAAAGCTCTTTTGCCCAGACCATTTTGTTCTCATGCAGAAGCAGGAAAGCACTGGGAATCTTGCACAGTTGCATAGGGAAGCTGTTGCCCACTCAGCTCTACAGCCAGGTTCAGTTGTCCTTGCCTTACACCCTAACAGGTCACAGGGGGGCCATGTCAGGAGAGAGCTGGGTCTGTTAAATGTGGAGAAGAGAAGAACTCATTGTGGCCTTCCAGTGCCTAAAGGGGGCTTATAAAAAGGCTGGAGAGGGACTTTAAATACAGGCAGATCGTGGCAGGACAAGGGGAAATGGTTTTAAACTGACAGAGGGCAGGGTTAGATTAGATATTAAGAAAAAAATGCTTCCCTGGGAGGGTGGTGAGACCCTGGCACAGGTTGCCCAGAGAAGCTGTGGCTGCCCCATCCCTAGAAGTGTCCAAGGCCAGGTTGGACGGTGCTTGGAGCAACCTGGGCTGGTGGAAGGTGTCCCCCCATGGCAGGGGGTGGACCTGGGTGATCTGTAAGGTCCCCTCTACCCCACACCATTCTGGGACTCCATGCCTCTATGATTTTTCCATAGTGCCCTTGGTCACGTGAGGTCACAGTGTGGGGTGGGGGGTGTTCTCCTGTGCCCTGGGTGTTTGTGTCCCAAAACACCCTCAGTGGAACACTGAGGCAGTGTCCCAGTCCCCCCAGCGAGGGGTCACTCCTGGCTGTGTGTGTGTGTGGCTGTGGGACCATGTCTCACGTCCACTACAGGTTCTCCTCCCTGCTGAGCTCTGACGTGGTCACCTTCCCCGGCCCCAGCATCGCCCTGGGCGAGCTCAAGCACCGCATCATGGCCTGCAAGAAGCTGAAGGAGGCGAACAGCGACCTGCAGATCCTCAATGCCCAGACCAATGAAGGTACCTGGGGATGGTGGGCATGTGTCTGGTCCCCACACAGTCACCCTGGGGCCCATCCAGCCTGGGGAGTGCATGGCACTGGGAGTGCGAGTGACTCCAGGGATTGAGCAGGGTGGTAAACCCAAACATGGGATTCACAGAATCATGGAATCAATTGGGTTGGAAGGGACCTCTGAGATCATCAAGTCCAACCCTTGATCCAACCCCGCTGTGGTTCCCAGCCCATGGCACTGATGCCACATCCAGTCTCATCCTAAAAACCTCCAGGGATGGAGAATCCACCACTTCCCTGGGCAGCCCATTCCAATGGCTGAGCACCCTCTCTGGAAAGAATTTCTTCCTAATATCCAACCTAAACCTCCCCTGGCACAGTTTAAGACCGAGCCCTCTTGTCTTACTGATAACTGCCTGGGAGAAGAGACCAACCCCCACCTTGCACATTGATGTGCAACGTAGAGTGATGACAAATTTTTCTGTTTTCCGGAATTTCTCAAGGTAAAATGATGATGAAATGTGGGAGGATATTTCAGCACAGAGAAGGCTGTGGGGACACACCAAAGCAGTCACCCAGTATCTCAAGAGGGTGTATTAAAAGCAGGGTTTTCCCATCTCAGGTTTTATGGGCTACTCTGTCATGGCAAACACCTTTACTGCAATAGTTTGAACAGCTGGGATTGTTTCCAGATGAAGTGACTTGTTACAATAATGGTTGATGTTTAGAACTGGTTTTTTATTTGGATTCTGTGATATCTGTTGAGTTTGACATTCCTAAACTGAGGGGCAGAGGGAGAGGCACTTGTTAATACAGCCAGATAGTGACAGGACAAGGGGCAATGGTTTTAAACTCACAGAGGGCAGGGTTAGATGAGATATTGGGAAGGAATTCTTCCCTGTGAGGGTGCTGAGGCCCTGGCACAGGTTGCCCAGAGAAGCTGTGGCTGCTCCATCCCTGGAAGTGTCCAAGGCCAGGTTGGGCTTGGAGCAACCTGGGCTAGTGGAAGGTGTCCCTGCCAGTGGCAGGGGGGAGGAACGAGATGATCTTTAAGATCCCTTTTGACCCAGAGCATTCTGTGATTCTGTGTTTCTATGACATTAAAGCAAACTGGGCAGATTTCTCTGAATCTGGCAGAGAAAGCTGAAAGCAATGGAAATGAACAGATGTGATCTGTCAGTCCCGAGCCCCAGCAGTGCAGGTGAACTGCTAAAGCCATGAAAAAGATGATGCAGAGGTTTCAGACTTTAGCCAGGTGCCTGTTTGGTTGCAGATAAGCTAGTCTGACTTTAGGGAGACTGCTGTGGCTCACTTTTCTCCAAAGATCTACTGGATTTGTAGACCAGCACAAGCAAAAGCAACTCAAGCCAGATCAGGAAAGAACCTCCTGAATTAGCAACTGTCTTTTAGTGACCTTGGAGAGCATTTTGCTGTTGGCATTCAAACTATTTACAAAAAAAAAGAAAGATTTTGTTATTTTAGTTTGATTATCAAACCTGAAGATTTCTTCAAAGGTTCTGTTTGTGTGTTGAGACAACCAAAGCACGATGTTGCATCTAAAATTTTGCTTTCAGATATCTAAAGGGATATTAATACCCATTCCCATGAATATCCATTCTCATGGGGTTTTTTTTCTTGTGTTTTTTTTGAGAATACACTGATGCCAATGCCCTGATCCTGAAGAATTCCTCAGTGATAGTGAGGAGAGTCCCTGCTGGAGCAGGTACAGCTGCCAGCAGAGCAGAAGCTAAGTGAGTACCCACGAAGCACTGGATTCCTTGTGACGGGTGTTAGTGTGTGAGCTTTTTTAGTGGATAATTCAGACTGTATATGTTAAAGCTGCAGTTATTTTGTGTTGTTATGCAGTAGATTTTAATGTATATGCCCCAAAGGCAGCAGATTTTTAGGCCTGCTGGGACATGGAGTTCAAACTCCAGCAATGGTGACTTTTAAGATGATTCTGTTGGGTTTGTTCTTGGGGTTGATTTTGCTGAGAGCCAAGTCACAGATCCTGTTCCCTTTATGTGGAGAGATTCTGTATTCTATGTGAATGCTTTTATTGCTTTTATAGTAAAGACAGCTATGCCTTGTAGGGTAAAGTTTGTTCCCCTTTCAGAAGGGTCTGATTATCAGTGTTTGACTCTTTCCTGCACTTGGGGAAGGGACAGACCTCTTGCAGGAGTACCTGCAGGATATGACAGGTATTCTCACATCCACACTAGCTGTAGATAAAAAACCAAGGGTTGCCAGCTGGTGACCTGTGCAAACAAGGATATTCATCCATAATTAATTCCTTTTAGCTTCCTGAAGACAATGTTCATTTCAGGCAAGAGAAAAAGAACCATACCCCCTAAACTGCACTGGCTTTTGTGTGAGTGCAACGAAGGAATAGTTAATCCTTTCCAATATTGAAATTCATAAGCAATTTAGGATGTTATGAAATGCTACAGGTTATCTTTCTGTGTCTGTTTGTACCTGTTGGGGTTTAGGAATGATATTCTCCAATTCACTACTCCCACTAAACACCCCCTGCCCACTCCAACGGGAGGAACAAAAGGCAAAGATCACAGGTTGAGATAAGAACAATTTACAGGAAAGAGCAGCGAGATAAGAAAACAAACAGTAACAGCAACAGTATTAATAACAAAAGGTGTAAGAAAAGTAATGATTCACACAGGAAAAAATCCCAGATAATAGACAATACTGGACAGCACTTTTGCTCTGCTGGATGGAACCCCTTCTCCCGGGAATAGAGTCCCTTCCCCCTGCCCTGGCAATGACCTGAGGGGGGACAGAATAACCTCTGGGCCCTGGCCACAGCCCCTCCTGGTTACTGCGAAAAACTAACCCTGTCCTGGCCAAAACCAGGGCAGCACCCTGAGCTGATCCCCGTGTTCCAAGTTTTAATTCTGGACAGAGAATCAGAGGTACTGATTACAATTACAGATATTCAAATGCAGTCCTGACTACAGGATTATTGTTGTCCTTTCTGTGTTCGTTCACACCAGTTCTGGTTCAGCTCCATCAGCACCATTTAATGTCCATCCTTCTGAAAGAGGTGCCTCTGCCCACAGTGAAGAGATATTATCAGCTTACAACTCTGCCATGTCTTTCTGGTGTTGATTCTCAATAAAGTACCCTGAGGAGTTACAGTGTGTCCCAAACAAACAGGACAGCAGCATCCTGGTCCCCACGAAGCATATCCAAGCAAACCCCCCTGTTTTTCTGAATTTATGTGTGGCCCTGCCTGTCATTGCTTCAGTGCTTTCAGACACTGCCCAGTGACTCTTGATGCCTCAGGGTTGTGCTCACAAACATGGCTTTGGTTTTAGGGTCTGGTTTCACTGCTTTATGCTGGGTGTGAGTGCTTTACTTTAAGTTCTGATCACCTTTATTTCTTCTTCTAGATGTCAAAGATATCCAGTGAAGGGAACACCAAAAGCAGTATGTAAACCCACAATCTCTCTTTTTTCTACACACCACACTTAATTCTAAACAATTAATACAAATCCTTGTACTAATTTTCCAAGCATTGATGTATTTTCCAGTCAAATACAGTATATGTTGTAAATGCAGCTGATTTGACTCAGCACAGTTTTTTTTCAGTAAAACCTGAGCCAAGCCAACATTTGCACAGTTCCCCAAGAGCACTGCAGCTCAGTCCTAACCAGACCTGGGGACTGCATTCCTGCCAGATGTTCCAGTTGGCATCTGGGAGGGACTTTGGTCTATTCTAGTAGTGGTTTTTGGGGCTTGGATGTGTTTTGTAAACCATTTCGATTCAAACAAATTACTCAAGTGTCTATAACTTCTTTTTTTAAATGTTAATGGAAATTGTTTCATAGATGTCAGTCTGGGTTATGTATGGCTGCAATGGAGAAAAAATAGAGGGCCATCTATTCATCATCAGTAAAAAATTGTCTTTGGTCTGATAGCAAGGAGAATAATACTAAATTCTCACACTTCTCAAACCAATGTGGGTAATATGGCCTGTGGTCTAATAAAAGACATGAAACCAGTCTCCCCTGGTTTTACAGGCTACTCTTTCATGGCAAACACCTTTACTGCAGTAGTTTGAGCAGTTGGGGTTTTTTCCAGACGAAGTGGTGCATTACAGTGATGGCTGATGTTCAGAGCTGGTGTTTTTCTTTGGATTCTGTGGGAACTGGTGAGTTTGGCACCTCTGAACTGATTGCCAGGAGGGCAGAGGTGACGTTTCAGGGCTGCTACACCTGTGCCTGATCGTGACAAACAGCTCCACTGTGCTCAGAAAAGCATCTCCACCTGCATTTATAAGTGATGAGGCATTAATTGCACTGGAAATAAGTTTCCTGTAGGGATGTTTCCTTATCAAATAGCCTTCAATGGTCTTAATATCCTTTTTAGCTGAAAACTGACATCTCTCTTACCCCTTCAACTTCTGCACAGTTGTGAGCATTTGACAAGGGTCCCTCTCTGAGATGTTCTGAGCAATAAGTTGATCTCAGGCAGGTTTGTTTCTTTCAGCTTCTTTTCAGAGGCTTTCCTAATCTGTCATGAGGTTGGACTTTGCTTTGAAGAAACACCCATGGCACGAGGATGGAAATGCCTTTTTCAGTGGCAGAGCCTGTAGTGCAGACTTTCAGACCACTGGGGAGGTTAACTATTGCCATGTTTTGGTTGTAGAACTTGAATATGTGTTTAATTTTTTTTTAACAGATTGCTGACCCTTCTGTACCTCTTCCTCTGGCCCAGCTCATTGAGGTAGAGATATTATTCTCAAATGCTAAAAGAAAAAATATGTTTGCTTCATATTTTTTAAATCTTACACTGTGTTCTATAGCTGGATAACTGTTGTAACGAGAACAAAACTTTATTTTTAGTAATTTTAAGTATTTATTTTAAGTTTAAAATGTGTGTATGTTTGGGTACTCTCCTGGGAGAAGTTCCCAGTTTGGGAAGATAGAAGGGGAGCACCTTATCAGCCCCAACATGATGCTGCAGTATCACTCACCTTCAAGACACAAAGAAGCAGCACTTCAGCAGCTGTTTACTATTTCATTTCATTAATTTTGTGCTTAAAACTAACACAGCAGCAAGTCCTTTCTTCTGATAATAAAGGCTGAAGTTCATTTCCTAAAAAAAGAAAAGTCTGCCCACTGGTAATGTCTTCCCTCCTCCACTGCAGAAATCACACTGTACATTGGCCAAAAGGAAAAAAGATAAATCAGTTTGGAAGGCAGCCACCAAAAGAAATTGGTCTTCACTGGTGTTGCCCTTAAAGATGTTGTTGCCTCTGTAAACTCATGTGAAGTTTTACTCTAGTGATGGTTTGCAGACTGGCTCAGCACGGAGGCCACATGCTCTAAAACATTTTCTATTCTATTATTTCTCTGCACCAAATGCCATATTTGAATTTTGGTCTATTCTAGTAGTGGGTTTTGGGGCTTGGATGTGTTTTGTAAACCATTCTGGTTCAAACAAATTAGTCAAATGTCTATAACTTTTTTTTTTTTGAAATGTCAGTGGAAATTGCTTCATAGATGTCAGTCTGGGTTATGTTGCTTGGAAAAAACACTGTCCTCAAAACAATCACAAAATAAACTGTTGGCCTTACTTGGTTTGTTCTGTGAATAAAAGCAAAGCCCTGAGTGGTTGGGTGCTTGAAGGTCCAAACCACTCATTTACTCCCTTAGGCCCTGCTTGTATCTGGACTAGTGTGTAATAAAATCATTTCAACAAATATTATTTAGAAAAAAAAAATCAGCTGGCTTCAATAATTTGAAGATGTGGTTGTGCAGAGGGTTTCTATGACAAGGTGGATGTGAAAAAGACCATCTTGACTGCAAAAAACCTGCAGATTGTGCTTTCTGCAGTTAAATGACTGAATAGGAAGAAGTTGGGGACTGTGCAGTTGGACTGCCTGCAGCACACCATGGTCAGGCTGCTGAAAAGAATCTCTGGCTTGCTGAGCAATTATGAAAAGCTTGGGTTTTTTTTAATGCTTCTGTGTCTGAAGCTGAATTTCAGCAAGCAAAACCAGCTGCCCTGCCTCTGCAATGGGGTGTCCTCTTAATGCTGCAAAACGTAACCCATGCTGCTTGCACCCAACTTTCTCAATTAGAAGTGCAGCAGAGACCTTCTTCCAATAATCTGGAGCTTAAAAATCAGTTTTAAAAATACTGGATTGTACAACTTTTTCAACACATACCTTCAGTCCTCTTGGAAGCAAATTGGGCTAGTTACCCAGGACTTGCTGCTGGGTACAAACAGGGCCCAAGGCTCTCAGTGCCCCAGACTGCTCTTTCCAAGTGGGTTCCCAGGCTCAGAAACATCATGGAATGGTGCAAGGACTCCCCAGCAGATCCTCAGGGCAGCTCTGTTTTACATAAGCAGCTGTTTTCATCCAACCACAGCCAGCTGCTCTTTCCAGGGCTGGTGTGAGTGGGGTCATCTTTGGCTGTGGGGGCTCAAAAACGTTCCTAAGGTGTGTGTCCAACCCTTCCCTGCTGTGCAGAGCCCCAGCCTGGCTGAGACCAACGTTTCTGAAGAGGAGAAGATCAAAGTCATGATGATGCAGTCCTGCTCTTACTACGACCCCAGCAAGTAAGTGTTGATTATGTCAAATCTGGTCGTCGAAGGCGACGGAAAAATGGTAGAGAGGTTTTGAAAAGGGAGACACGTGCAAGCCTTTTCCTTTTTTTTCCCCCCAAAAACCTACAGTTACCTGAAGGTGCCCTTGGGTCCACTCCCACCAACCAATACTTGCTTCAAATGCGGACAACAAGGTCACTGTAAGAAGAAGTGCCCAAACACAGGGGTAAGACTGGGGAGAATTTCTGGGCTTAATGCAGTTTTTATAATTTTTTTACCTTGGTAATTATGCAACAAACACATGAAGGGTTGTTTCTCTTGCGTGGAGGTCAATAATGCTGAGATGATCCCAGCTTGGGGGCAAGAAACTGCAATGCTTTATTGGACTTACAAGTTCATATTTAAAGGGTTTAGGGTCTATATATTCAGCAGAGAGTTGTAACTATTACAATTATTACAAATAGGGGTTTTCAGGGGATGACGTAAGGGGAAAACCTGGGTTAACAAATTTGGGGTTTTACACATACATCATAGGGGAAAACCCATTTTATCTTGGGGGAATTACAGAGGGAAAAAGGTATTTGGGTTTACAGAAGGCAAGGATTAAGGGAACACAAAGGGAGAGATAAACCACAAAAGGTCTTCTGCACAGGTTTGGTGAGATCAGGGTGCTGACTCTCTGGACAGGGCATGTGATAACATTATGCAAAGAGTCTCCTCACATCCTGCTGGAGAAGGCAGGAAAAATCCACAGGGATGAGGTCAATGAAGAGGGTTTTTCCCAGCTGCTGTAGCCCATGGCTTTTTGCAAAGATCACTCAAGTCTCTCTCTGCAGATATTATATTTTGGGATCCAACACTCTTGGGGTGAAATACAAAGGTTATGTGCCAATGTTGTAACACTCTTCAAAATTCATGGGAGACCTGATGTTATCAATGAAAAATTTCCTTTTTCCTAGGTCACAGGCATTAAATATGCCTGTAGATCTCTCTCTGTGAGAGACACATATTTTTATATATTGAAATGTATATATATATTTATAAATATTCTGAAAATTTTGATGGTTTAAACTCTTTTCAATGACAACTCGTGGTATTTGATATTTTGTTTAAAAACACAATGTTTCTGTGGACCCCATCTATTGAATATTTGTGTGTTTTCATTGCACAGGGCTCTGGCTGAGTATTCACACCCTTTAATGTTTAAATGTGTGTGCATGGGGGGTGAATTCAGCCTCAGCTGTAGATGGGGAATAGAAGTTTTCCCCAGTGACTGATTCAGAGCCCTGGAAGAGGAATGGGTTTGTGTCCCTTCTCTGAGCCAAGGGGTATTTCACCTGAAATTAAGTCCAAGGACGTCAACTGAGTTCAAAACACTGCTTCAGCCTCTGGAACATCCTGGCAAATTCATTATATATCCATGATTATTCCCATATTGATTCTGGGAAATAAGTATTTTGATGGAGCAACCCCTATGTTAGGTAGAAGGAGAGGATTAAAAGTTTTGCCACTTCAAATAATCATTGAAACATCATTCTAAGTGTGGGTTTTAAGGTCAGCTACGTCTGCATTTCTTCTCTCAGCAGAACAAAAACATTGAGGATGTTCCCAGGATTAAAAGGAGCTCAGGGATTCCAGCGAGTTTCATGGTGGAGGTGAAGGACCCCAATGCAAAGGGAATAATGATAACCCCCAAGGGAAAATATGCTATTCCAATCATTAATGTGTAAGTATGGAATTCATTGGACTGATCCAAAAGGGAACAAGGTGAAACCACGTGGAAACATCTGAGTGCCAATGTCACCACAGTGGCAGCAAAAAGGAGGGAGAAGGACTTTTTATATGGGCAGATAGGGACAGAACAAGGGACAGTGGTTTTAAACCAACAAAGGGCAGAGTTAGATGGGATATTGGGGAGGAATTCTTCCCTGGGAGGGTGGGGAGGCCCTGGCACAGGTTGCCCAGAGAAGCTGTGGCTGCTCCATCCCTGGAAGTGTCCAAGGCCAGGTTGGACAGGGCTTGGAGCAACCTGGGCTAGTGGAAGGTGTCCCTGCCCATGGCAGGGGGAACTAAATGGTCTCCAAGGTCCCTTTGAACACAAAACATTCTATGATTCTCTGATCTGTCATTATGGGTGTGCTTATGCATTTTAAAAGGCACTTGGTAGCCCTTCTGTTTGTCTGTCTTGAATCTCCTTTGGTAGAAGCTTTAACACAAACTTCTCCTGTTTATAAAATGTATTTACCCAGAGACCAGCTTTATCACGAGTCTGTAATTTACCCTCTAGCAAAAGGAAGGTGGAATTCATTTCATCTCATTTCTAGCTGTCAAAAAGTTATTTTTCTACCCTGAGCTCATTTTTTAGTTGATGCAATGACGGGAGAGTTTTGTAGAAGGAAAATTGTTTCGCCCTCCCCCTTCTCATATTAAGGCTACAAAAAAGCAGATTAAACCAAATGCCTGCAGTTTAGGGGGCTAAAGTGGACTGAGAAGAATTCAATCTGTTACTTTCCTTTGATAAAACCCAAAGCATGGAAAAGTTTTCCTTTATACACCTTTACCTTTTTTCTTTTTCCTTCCCCTCTCCCCACCCCCCTTCAGGGAAGCTTATGCCAGAGAAAAGAAGGAAAAGCCTCCCCTTTTACAAGAGGAACCAGCCTCTTCCTCCTCCTCCTCCTCCTCCTCCTCCTCCCCAGCTCCCATTCCAGATAAGCTGTCATGTGTCATTTGTAGAGAGATAATGACTGATGCAGCTGTAATTCCCTGCTCTGGAAGAAGTTACTGTGATAATTGTAAGTGTTAACCCCACATTTGTAAATTCAGAACATCACACCTGATCTTCTGAAAGCAGAAACTGGATGGAACAAAATGATTGTGTTACCAGTTCTAATTAATACTTCAGTCTACCCTGAATAGGAAAGGACTTGTCTCATGCAAAGAGAAAAAGAAAAAAAAAAAGAAAAAAACAGGAAGCATTTTTCCCTTTGCTGTGATTTAGGTGTGGTATTCCCCAATTTAGTGTTCCCACTGAAACACTCCAAACTTGCTCACTCCCCATCCTCATCCCTCTCCCCCTGCAGTAGGATGGAGAGGAGAACTGGAGGCACAAAAGGTAAAGATCACGGATTGAGATAAGAACAATTTACTAGGAACAGTGATGAATTAAGAAACAAGCAGTAGCAGCAACAATATTGAACAACAGAGTGTACAAAGTAGGCAAACGATCCCCACGCAGAGCCTGGTGCCACCCTGACCACTCTCTCTGCCACCACCCTGACTGGAGGGGTCCCCCCCATCTCTTTTTTGCCTAAAATCAAAGAAAAATTCTCTGGACAATTTTAGTATAAAAAGACAGAGAGCTGGTCTTTAATTAAAACTACTTAAGGTGCATAAAATACATTTTTGCACAAACACACAGGGTAACTTCTACAATTTTATGACACTAGCTAATTATCATATCCAATGGGATTCACCCATCCCGAAAATTGTTCATCCCCCAGGACCTCCCTCAGGCACTCCCTCAGGCCCACCTCCCTGAATTGGGTGGATGGTCTTCTACCTTACTCCATCTTCCTCTACCTTCCTCCACCTTCCTCCATCTTCCTCTTCCTCATGGTGTTCTGTCCTGCTTAGAACCAAGGATTCTGGGCCTTCTGAATAGCTTTGACTAAAGTTATATCAAGGAATGCACTGGTTATATCTTGTCCTTGTACACTCTCTACAGACTAGATGTCCTTTAGCTTGCTAAAGATCTCTATTGAAATCCTTGACTAGAAACATAAGCAATATTTTGGAATTTGGTACAAAACTATTTAGTTAAAAGCTCCGTCCTAAAATTACTAAAAAGTGCTAAAAGCTACATTAAAATCTACATACTTATGGATCTTAAGGCATCATTTTGTGTATGGTGTGAGGTGGTATAGAATAACCCCAGGGTCCTGGCCATGCCCTTCCTGGATGTTACTCAGCCCTCATTCTAAACCATCTGGGTCATGTCATCTCCATGGTCAGTGCCCATCCCTCCAAGATGCCTGTGGAGTTCCTTTAGCCCATGGCTGTGTGTTCTATCCATCCCAGATGTCTGCCAGGGCAGGAGGGTGGGCTGGTGGTTGTAAAAGTGCATCAGGAGCTCATGGCTGGTGTATCTGGAGCAGTCCCTGCTCTTTGTCCATGGGAGTGGACACCGGGGCAGTGTCGTTCAGCAGCCAACATCACACAGTCCAACATTACAGACTGTTCTCTCCCAGGGATCAAATCCCATTAAGGTTCACATCGTGCCTCCCTGTCCCTCTGCACTGTCCACCAAGTGGACTCAGGTCCTTGAGCAAAAACAATCCCACGGATGGGTTTGCCCTTGGTTGAGGCAGGACTGACCCAAACTGTCACTGTGAGACAGGAGAGTGGAGACACAGCCTCGACATCTTCAAATGCCACCACAGCTAAATGTCAGAACTGTAGAGTTATTTGTGGCATATCAGAAACTGTCTCCACTGTTGAACCTTTAGAGCCTCATGTTGCCAATTCAACACCCTATTGACCCATTTTCAAGACCATATTCACCCATTAATCTTGTACGTGTTTTTACAATTGGTGAGAACCCCCAAAATTTCTTTAGTTTGTCTAAAACCTGTTTTGATTGTTCTAATTATACACAGGTATTAGAACAGCATTGCTGGAATCAGAGGGATACACCTCCCCAACATGCCATCAGACAGGTGTTTCTGCTGATTCTTTAAATGCCAGCCAGCTCCTAGGCCAGGTAACGATGACTTTTATTTAAACTCTTTGTAAGAAAAGCCATTTGTAAAAAGCAGAAAGGGAAATAAATATTAATTTACATCTCCTTCAGCAGGGCTAAATTGAATAAGGCTTAATTTATTTCTCAAACACATTTTCTGCCATTACAGAAGCAGACAGCTCTTTAGACATGGTCTGGCAAACCCAGATCACACTTTTGTTGAACGTGGTCCCCTCACTTCCCAACCTGGTGTTAACACTTTAAATACAGGTGCTCTGGGTTACCACTCATTGCTAACAGTGTTTTGTGGGATGTGTTCCTACATCTGCCATCAAATTACTTTTGGATTGACAGCAGTTACAGCAGTACACAAGCAATTCTCCTCTGTGGAGACTTTTGTTCATAGGTCTACTGAAGTTTCATGGTACCTGTTTGTGAATGTTCTTCTGCCTCTAGGCTGGGAATGACTTCCAAAGTGGCAAACCGACCTGGGAACTGTAAGTATTCCACAGAAACACAATATTTTGAACTTGTGATTTATAATGAAATAAGTATGCACAGATAGTTGTGGAGAATAAAAGTGGTAATTAATTTTTGAATGGCTTAATTTGAGTGGGCTTTCACAAAGGGGATCTGTGCTTACAGTAAGATTATTTAAAATAAAACTCCAGCATATGACTGAAAAGAGGACTCTGAGGTCTTTTTGGGGAAACCATAAGTACATATAAAAAATAAACATAATTAAAGGATGAGGTGGAAAGCTGCCCTTTTGATTCCTGACTGAAGAAGGCTGAAGAAATTAATTTCCCAATAGAAATCAGTCTCCAACATTCTTTCTTTAACAACTTAGTTGATTCTGATTGAGCAAATTACTGGAAAAGTCAAGGCTGTTATTTTATGCCCATTTTGAACACCTTCAATTTAGTCATCCCAAAGAGCCAGGCTCCTTTCTCAGCTGGAGAGGGAGGAGTCTGGTTTATTTACTTAGTCCTTCCTTTTGGTATATTTGCTAGAAATGGATTATAAGGGTGCATTGTGTTTGTAAAATCTTATAGAGAAATCAAAACAAACCCCAGAATCCATCCCACACATGGTCTAAAAATCTCAAATTCAGTAAGCAAGAAAATAGCACCTGAGGGAACAGCACAGGGAGCCTCTGTGGGAGAATTAAAAGGAGTTTGAGAGCAGATAAGTTAATATCTGCTCAGGTCTGAGGCTGTGGAGTGTGAGGTGCTGGGTGAATCCAGGAGGGGCAGAGGAGCCCTGGGCACAGGGGAGTCTCCCTGGAGCACAGGCAGCCTCCCCCACAGGCACAAAACTGAGTGTGAAAAGAGAGAAGCCTGAGGGAACTGCTGGGGGGAGGATGTGGCAGGCAAGGATGAGGATCTGGAAATGAGGGGAGTCTCAAGGGAACAGGCAGCTGGAGAAAAATGAGAAAATTGAGAACACAAAACTCTTACCCACAGTGATACCCCTCCATTCACCTTCCTCTTTAAAATCAGGGCAGAGAGCAACAAACAGGGACACAAGTTTTGGGGTTTCTTAGGAAAGAAAACCTGATGTTTGTTATCTCCCAAAATCACTTGGGCAGGAGTCTGTATTACAGGTGTCTGTGGGTGATGCTGTCAGAGCCTCTCCCAGAGTCAGGGCACTGAGTCACCTTCCCAGAGGCCAAGTTTAGAAGCTTTCAGAAATCATTTTTCTCCAGTGTGGCCACTGGCCTTGGTTAGAGCAGAGGGCTGTGCCAGAGGTTTCTCAGACATCTGGCCAACAGAGCACTCCTCTGTGTCAGCTGCACTACCAGCATTTGTCATCCTGTACAAACTGACAGATGAGGAGTGAATTTAGGCTGAGGTGGCATTTTAAAATGGAGCTCTGCTCTTCAGGCTGAATCGTGTTTTCTCCGTGGCTGGTACTACACTGCAGCCATTCAGACTTGCTCTTTTTGCTTCTTCCTGCAATAAAAATGATTCCAGCTGCATGTAAGTGCAGAGCAGTGACAGCTTTGTGCATTCTGTACCAGCAGAGGCCAGTGTCACCCCCCTAAATCCACCCATGGCTCTGGCAGTTCAAGTGACACAAGAGAGTGGAGATAACCTGACCTTTCCTGGGTGGGTTTGCACTCACAGAGCAGCAGCTGTTCTACCTTGTCAGAAGAAACTTTTACGTTACCAAGTTCTTCCAGGGGCAGCAGCCAGTGATGCCATTATTGGCAGCAAGATGAAACAAGCTTTGACATAATCATATGAGGAGGGGAAAAAAAATAAAAACCCACACCAAATTTGGGCAGAAAACAACAGGGAAGAGTGACTGTTTCAAATTAAGTTCCTTTTTTTTTTGTTTTGCTTTGTTTTGTTTCGTTTCACCCCCATACAGAAAACTCCATTCAAGGCCAAGGTCTCCAGGTGTGAGAGGTGAGCCTGTGAAAGCAGATTCTGTGATTTTCAAACCCAAAGCAAGAAATGGTAAGAGGAAGAGGAAAGCAAAAGTGACAGTACAAAGACAATTCAATCAAACCAGCTCGAGCTTCCCAAGACAAAGTGGACACCAACATGGAAAACGTCCTCGACTGGAACCTCCTGTGAAGGAGGTGAAGAAGGAGTAGCCAACCTTATGTTCTTAATTCATCTTCCTACTATCCCTTGTAAAGCATTTCTGAACAATAAACAACATAGTCTAGAAAAAACCCTGATTTAGTGTGGTTTTATTTACATGTGCTGTATATCACAAGCCAGGGCAGGTCACTGGACATTAACTTGGTTGTCCACTACCTCAGGTGGCTGCCTTTGACATGGGTTTTCTTTCTCATTCTGTATGCATCAAAAAGCCCAAGAAAATAAGAAAAAATCTTGAAAGGTAAAAATAAAAAGAGGCAATAGTTGTAAAAGAAATAAACCCCAGGAGATGTGTCACAGATGAGTTGCAGGAGTCTCTCATATTGCCATGGCTGACGAAAGAGCAAAAGGTGGCTGGGCTGGGTTTGGCTGGGGCAGAGTTAATGTCCTTCCCAGGGGCTGGCATGGGGCTGTGTTTTGGATTTGTGCTGAACACAGGGATGATAATGGAGATGTTTTTGTTATTGCTGAGCAGTGATCACAGAGAGCCAAGGCCTTTTCTGCTTTTCATACTGGTGAGGGGGCTGGGGGTGCATGGGAGGCTGGGAGGGGACAGAGCCAGGACAGATGGCCCAAACTGACCAAAGGGATATTCCAGACCACAGGACATCATGCTCAGTGTATTAAGTGGGGGGAAGAAGAAATCAGGGGGTATGTTTGGAGTGATGGTGTTTGTCTTCCCAAGTCACCATCACACGTGAGGGGGCCCTGCTCTCCTGGAGGTGGCTGAACACCTGCCTGCCCATGGGAAGCAGGGAGTGGATTCCTGGTTTTGCTTTGCTTCCGTGTGCTGCCTTTGCTTTCCATGTTAAATTGTCTTTATCTCAACCCATCAGTTTTCCAGCTTTTACCCTTCTGACTCCCTCCCTGGTGGGGGAGTGAGTGGCTGTGAGGGGCTTGGGTGCTGGCTGGGGCTCAACCATGACATTAGCTGAAAAACTCAGGATGCAGGAAGTATGATTCCTCTCCCTGTTTTCAGGTTTCTCAGTCCTTGAAAGGAGACTTGCAAGCCCTCTACGGTTTATTTTCTCCTCCAACTCCAAAGCAAGCTCTTTATCCTTTCATCCCAACATTGCTGCCATACAGCTTTGAAAATGGAAGGATTAAGGGTGAACAGAGTATTTTTTAGGAGGGGGGTTGTGAGTGGGGTGTTGAATGGATGAGCTTCTTTTTTCTTCTCTAACAGTTTTAGGGGACATTGGCAGGAGAAATCATTTCACTGGCTTCTTTACAGATCACTGCTCAAGCTGACGTCACACCTAACTTTGAGAAAATTTTACAAAGGCTTCACCCCTTGCCCTGAACTCCAGAGAAGAAAGGAGTCCATGCCTCTACAACCCTCTAGCTCAGTAAGGTGGTCACAGGGGTCCTCCTGCACCCCCTCCAAAGGGAACAGCACCCATCTGCTTCCACTGAAAAAAGTATATCCCCCCCAGACCCTCTAAAACAGGCCTTGGGTTTGCTGTGCAAACTTAAAATCTTTCAGGAAAGAAATAAAAAGAGCCCCAGGTTTCCAACATTAACTTTCCTACATTATTTGAAGAAACAGTGGGAATTCTGTGGGAAAATGTGACACCTGGAGAACTTTTACTTGCAGCAGGGTTCACTGCTCAGCTGCTCATTCTGTAGCATGGCTTGAAGTTGGCTTCCTTACTAGATGTCAGTGCTTCCATGTAGGGTTGCTTTACCTCTGTGATCCATAAGGAAAGTGCCAGTTGTACTTGTTACAGAGTTTTTGCTGCCAAATCTTTCCCAGCATCTTAGACCTGAGGCTCAGGTGAGCTAGGGTTTTTTGAGGTATGGAGCTGCACAGACGTATAAATTCTCCAATAATGCAAATATTAATACCCAGAAATGTTTAATGCAAAGCAGATAACTCCAGGTGAAGAACTGGGGGATGTAGTCCCGACTGCACTTGGTCTATGTGTATTAAGTTCTCTTTGTGGGTGTATTTTATGATGAGATCACCAAGCTTCAGTGATTTTTTTTTCCACCAAGTTTCAGTGATTTTTTTTTTCTGAGGACACGTACTTGTTTTTCCACACAAGTACATGTCCTCAGAAACGCTTGATTTTCTCAGAGGCACTTCACTCACATTCAGCAGCTGGGAATCCCAAAGATAACAATCCTTTCTCTCATGTGCTCGTGCTCTACCAGGTGTTCAAGCCCAGTGAGTGTTTGTGTCAGTGGGTGGTGAGAACTCGCGTGTTTTTGAAAGGTTTCTACGGGATAAAGGAACGTAAGTGATGGCGTTATGTCTGACTTTTTAAAAATTGTGTTTAACGTGTTATAATAACACACGAAAAGCGCTTGGCTTTTACCTGTGCCCTTTCAGCTCTCGGCCAAACCACCACACGGTGGCGGTGAGGACTCGCAAAAGGAGTCAGTGCGTGAGGACCAAACCCGCCAAAGTGCAGATCCAAGCGGAAAGCATCACTACCCTGGAAGAAACTACGTCAGGACAGAAAGGTTTGCCCGACCTTCCCCCTTCGTGTGCAAACTCTTATTTGCACCACACTCGAGAGGCAGCACGGACTCCTTTCCAGTTGTATGCACTAATAAATTTATTCACTCTCGCAGAATTCAGCTACATAATTGAAAACATCCCGCAAAACCAGAGCTCGCTGAAGGGCCTCATTGTTCACACCCGGGGCTGCCCCACCTGGGAGGTGACTCCCCTCCGTGCTCCCAGTGCCCTCCCACTGCTCCCAGTGTCACTCCAATAATTCCATGATTCCACCTCTTCCTGGGGCTTTTCTCTTTCCACAATGTGTCGTGGGGCTGCTGACAATGGGAATCCCACAGCCAGGAGCACTGCAAAGCTCCTCAGTGGTGTGGGCACAATGAAGAGCTCAGAAAGGCTGAGTGTGACTCTGGCTGCCTTCTGATGGGGAACTGCTCTGCTCCTCCCAGTCCTCTCCACTACCTGAGAAGAGGGAGTGATGTAACTTTGCTCTAATATCACCTAAAATCTTTGAATGGGGTTCTGAGCAACCTGGGCTAGTGGAAGGTGTCCCTGCCCATGGCAGGGGGTGGAATGAGATGAGCTTTAAGGTCCCTTCCAAACCAAACCATTCTGAGATTCTATAATCTACTACTGAGGTGTCTTACTGGTATAACAGGGTGATCCTAAGGCTCTGGTAAGGGTAAAGAATTTCCTCTAGCCTGAAATCATAGAATCATGGAATCAGCTGGGTTGGAAAGGACCTCTGAGATCATCAAGTCCAACCCTTGATCCAACCCTGCTGTGGTTCCCAGCCCATGGCACTGATGCCACATCCAGTCTCATCTTAAAAACCTCCAGGGACGGAGAATCCACCACTTCCCTGGGCAGCCCATTCCAATGGCTGAGCACCCTCTCTGGAAAGAAATTCTTTCTAATATCCAACCTAAACCTCCTCTGGCACAGCTGAAGGCCGAGCCCTCTTGTCTTGCTGAGAGTTGCCTGGGAAAAGAGACCAACCCCCAGCTGGCTCCCCCCTCCTGTCAGGGAGTTGCAGAGAGTGAGGAGGTCTCCCCTGAGCCTCCTCTTCTCCAGGCTGAACAGCCCCAGCTCCCTCAGCCTCTCCTCATAGGACTTGTGCTCCAGTCCCTTCCCCATCCTTGCTGCCCTTCTCTGGATCTGCTCCAGCCCCTCAATATCCTTCCTGAGCTGAGGGCCCAGAACTGGACACAGCACTCCAGGGGTGAAGCACTGCCTGCCCTAACTCCTTCAGCCTGGAGGTGGGGATCTGCTCAGACATCTTGTCTTCACGGCCCCGAGGGTGCAGATGTCAGCAAGAAAGTCTCTTCAACAGAGAGACCTGGTCTTGTCTGCAAGCACCACCTTCTCCCTCCTCCGTGGGGCACCGGTGAAGTCACTGTTTCATCACCATTAGGGCAGCCTACGTGGCTGCTGTGGGCACTGACATCATGTCATGTGCCTGGGTGAGATGTTTGTCATGAGAACAGGGAAAAGTTTTCTCTAATTAATGCTAATCGTAGTACAGACTGGAGGTTTGCGTGCCACATTCCTGTTAGATTGAAAGCCAGGGATGCTGAGGCACTGGGAGCTGCCAAATTTAGAGAAATACCAATTTAAAAGGCGAGGTCCAGGGTGGAACATTCATACTTTTTTTCTTTCCTACTCAGAATAAAGGTTGTCACTGAAATCAGCGGCAAAAATGTTGATTGTGGTGTCAACCCTTAAAATCGGTGTTCAGGGAGGAGGGCAGGCAGATGGGAATGTGCTCTCTGGGCCAGTGTCAGCAAGTCCAGACCACTGCCAGAGCCACTCCTTTATTCTGCCCCTGTTTCAGTGCACTAAACTGGGGAGGTGCCTTGGAAACTCCTCCATTAATCACTTCACCGACTGGTTAGACACAAATAAAAAGCAGCTGAGCTTCCATGAAGGTGAGAGAGAAACACAAACTGATTTTTGCTAAGATTAGGATCTTCCAAGAGAAGATTTCAACCCAAAATAGAACTGCTATTTTGGATTTTTGCACCCCCTGAATCCTTTCCCCTGCTGTAGGTGTAGGGAATGCTGAAATTCCCTGTTTTGAGCCCCAGCATCAGAGGTTGTTTCCAATTATTCACCAAAGCAAGGCACTGAGGGTGCTGGATATTCAGGACACAGGATATGGACAAGGCTGAATCCATTGGTGTTGGGATAGTCTTGATAAAATAAATGTGAAGCCACAAGAACTTGCAGCCTTTTGTTCCAGGACGAGAGGAAATTGTTCTTTTGGACCTTCTCAACTGTCCTGGGGCTTTTAGATCAGTGTTGGGCACTGCTGCAAGTGTGGCTGGATCAGGAAATTTTGGGGGAGGACTTGTTGTACAGTTTGGATGAACTCAGCCCCTCCTGCCCCTCCCTTTTGCCCTGAACATCTCACTCAGCTAAAAGCTTCCTCAGCCAGGGAGATGCATTTGGGGCAGCCAGACAATGCTGTCTAAGGGAGATGAATCTGTGAGTGAGTGCAAAAAACATTCAGGGCATGGTTTTTCCTTTATTCTCCATTGCAGGAGTTGATATTTGTGGACATGCAGTGGTCTGTGTGAGCAGCAGCTCCCCTCCAGATCCCA